CTTTGTATTTGGAAGTCCACTGGGAAAAAAATGATAGTGTTGATAAAAAATAGAAGACACAAATTTTTTCCTATCTAGTTATTTTTGATATTATATTCAAGAAATGTGTCTTGACAGTTGTTGTACTACCCTGTCCTTAAAACTTATCCTGCATTTAATCCTCAAAGAGATGTGCTGATGAATGAACCAGCATTATGTTAAACATGTTGACTCTGTTTCAAAAATTGTTAACCATTTTGAGTCCTGTATGTGTAAAATTAATCTTAAATGTGTTTACTGCATGAAAGTTACACTGAAAGTTAACATTTACTGAACACTTAGTACAAATGTTTTCTAAGTGGATTTCTGGTTTATTTTCACTGTTTAACTATAAGGCGTTGAATTGCCTAAAGTAAAATATAAATTGTACAAACTGTACAAACAATAAAAAAAGTTAATTGCTTAAAAATGTGGAATTCATTCAATTCTTAAAAGCTAGTGCAATAATAAAAACAAGAAAAAGCTAAAATTATGATGATAATGAAGAAAATCAGCTACTTAATATTTTAAATGATTAACTTAAAAAAATGTTTTCGTAACTACTATCATTAATTACATAACACTTAAAAAACAGTTTTGAATAATATGGAAAAAGAAGTTGGAGGAACATAAATTATTTGAGTAAACAACTTAAAAACATGTTTTTAAGTTACCAATTATTAAGTCTATGGTAATTAAAATTACCTTTACTTATAGAGGAAAAGTTCATTCCTCTAACTCTATGTAGTTTGTTGGTTCAACGTAATTTCTACACAAGTTATCTTAACGCAAAAAGATTAATGGAAACTGTTGCGTTAATTTTTTTTGTTGAGCTTAAACAATAGTTTTTAGAGTGTACACATTCACACACTGGTGATGGCAAGCTACATTGTAGCCACAGCCACCCTGGGGTGCACTGACAGAGGCGAGGTTGCCAAACACTGGCGCCACTGGGCCCTCTGACCACCACCAGTAGGCAACGGGTGAAGTGTCTTGCCCAAGAACACAACGAACGAAGCTGTCCAAGGCTCAAACCGGCAACCTTCCGATTACAAGGCGAACTTCCAACTCTTGAGCCACGATCGCCCCACCTACTCAGATGTAGACAAAAAAGGATCTTTAATAGATTCTTGTTTGGCATAGGAGAAACAAAAACCTAAGGAAGGTAAGTGATGACAAAGAAAACCACTCTTCTGGTCCATGTGGGGCTTCTATTGAGGTTCTGAAACTGCAGAAATGTGACACGGTACAGGAAGGCCACCACTTTGTTTGCTGCATTGTATTTACAATATTCTTTGGTGGTGATGGTGGGAGGGAGATGCATGTTTAATGAACCACAAGGTCTTTCAATGAGGGATTGAGGAGTCATCTGCTCCCACTGATCACATATATCATAAAGATGTAACATCAAATGGAGTTATTGCGTGTAACATAACTGAATGCTTTTCATCTTTCATCAGTTCAAATAAATCCATACATTTTTCTTATTACTTTTTTTTTTTTAAATGCTTGTGTTTCGACTCATTTCTTGTCAAAGTTGGCAGACTTTATTTTTAAGGAAGAGGTGGTCTCATTTAATGAGCGTGCATCAATGAACTCTGAATGGCCCACTGATTCCAGAAAGAAACTTACTGGCCTAAAATGCTCTTCAGTTGTCAAATGCAAGTCTGCTTTAGAAAACAACATAATTATCTGTGATCAACAGATCTGTCTGAATAGTCTCAGGTGTGTGGCCAACATGAGAGGGAGGTAAGGGAAATAGGGAATGCTCACAGTTGATGTGTTAATTATAGAAGAGTCATGTAACTTATGCTTCAGTTTCTACTAGACACACTCTGTGGGAGATGGTTCCTCTGTATCTGTGTCGGTGAACTACTGACTGTGTGTTTTTTCCTCCCTTTCACTGTGTGTGTGCTACAGTCATACAGGAACCAAGACTGGGGCGAATAAATGTACAGAGCTGACTGGAACCAAGAACCATCGAATAAATTCATTAAAAGATCCAACGGGTGGATTCACTGTCTGTGATGGACAGGTTTCAGACAACACTGATGTAAATACTGCAAACTTTACTAGGAGCCCACCCGGCCTGTAGCAAAGAAAGGAATGTCCAATACTATTTATATTTGTACCTTTCAAAGTAAAAGACGAGGAATGTTAACAGTAAAGTTAATTTACATTAAAGTCAGTAGCAAGCAGTACTCTCTTTAATCTTGATAAAAGTATATTTCACATACTTAAGTTCAAGTTGGAGGGTGTAGAAGAGACAAAATACAGATTGGTCCAGATCACAGTGGAAGAGGTCGTCAGGATGGGACAAGTTTTGTAATTATGTCCTAAACTGTCCCTAAACTTTTTTTTTTAAGAAAAGCTTTCTTCATAGCCACACTCTAACCTCTATGTATAAAATTATGTCCACTGATACACACACACACAGCTGAATTCCACTGATACACTGTGGGTGTAAGTTAAACTGAATCGTACCAGAAATCATGGTAACCAGCGTGACTGAGGAGGACACTGAGCAGATGGGCCTATGCAGACTTTGGGAAGTACACCCATCGCCTGTGGTTTGAGAGTTTGGTAGTGCTGTGCAATACAATACATTTTGGTATTGATCTGAAACCAAGTAAATACAGGGCCACTATTGCCAATACCAATACTAATAGGGATACTTTTAACTTATAAAGGAGTTTGATTCAGTGTTTCGTGATGAATCGGCATGACTTTGCAAATTCTTTTGCAAACACATTTTAGTGATGATGAAATCATTTTTACTTTCCAGAGCACATCTGTCAGCTTTATCATATTTTTGAAGCTTGCAATAAGGTCCAAAAGAAGGTTATTTTGGAGATCTGGAGTATGTCTATAATATATGTTCCTGTCGTTAAAACGAAAACTGGACACCGTACAATCATTCTGGGCTCCACCACAGGGAAATCTACAGCTGTGCACTCTCCTTTCTAAACGAGCCTCACTTGTAGAACAAGCACAACAACATATAGTAACATGATATGACACTGTTACCTGCGACTTCTTCCTGAATATCATTGTGACAGGCCCTGGCTGGTTTATGTAAAAGGCAGACATTTGCTTAAACACTTGTGAAGATATCACACAAAAAGCAGCTTCCAGACTAAAAGAAGACCCCCCCCCCCCTCCCATGAAACCTCATATTCTTGACGATTTAAGCTGTAATGTTTTTGTGCATCTCCAGCAAATCCCAGAATGCTGCACTATTTTTTTAATAAGCATGTTTTATCGAGCTACAAAATTCTGAGACTGGATCAGCAGCTGGTTTCTTTTCTGTCCTCCTCTCCGCGCGCTTATCGCGGTGGGTGGAGCCAAGCACGTCCCCAATTTATTCATCAGGTTGTAAAATTTTAGAGAAGTAGTCGGTCAGATGAAGTGGTGACACAGAGAAACAACAGCCATGGCGAGGTCTAAGGCGAGAGTGTACACTTGTTGCGCACTGATACTACTCTGCTTGGTTGCTATAATTGTGTGTATTGCTGTACTTGCGAGACGCAAATGCCCAACTGGCACTTTCTCGAAAGCTGCAGTGGCCGCAGACTCAGGGAGATGTTCAGAGATCGGACGGTGAGTGACATTTGAAACTTTTCAACCAAACTGCTCTCTTTACTATGTTCCAACTAAGGCAAAATATGCTGGTTTCTTAACCAAAGTTTGGCAAACACTAAAACATTTTGGGGATCTTAACCCGGATAATCATCATCACGGAAGTGGAGGATTATGGTGTTTCTCTATTTACGAGGCAGCTCCTCACCCAAGTAATGAGTTCATGAGTTCAATGAGCACGCTTCAGTATGCGATTGCATAACCATGTAACATTTCATAAGAGTGGAAATTGGAGGTGATTTGCAAAACAGCGGTCTATGCAAAACATAAACATTTCCCTACTTTTAAGGCGCACTCGACAACGAAAATAGGAACGCAAAGTGATGAAGGACATTCTTCTGTTCATTCAGGGACATTCTTCAGAAAGGCGGCTCGCCAGTAGATGGCGCCATTGCTGCGCTGCTGTGCACCTCAATCATGAATCCACAGAGTGCTGGTATCGGAGGGGGGTCCATATTCACAATTATGGACGTCTCTGGTAACAAGACACCCTCACTCCCCTTATTCTAATGCAGCGCTTCAGGCCTGCCGGAAAGAATCAAGTTATAATGTCTCATCTTTTCAAAGGTAAAGTGAAAATCATCAATTCCAGAGAGACCGCCCCTGCAAACTTGAACCCTGACCTGCTTAAGTCATGTAACAGCACTATTCAAGTAAAAAAAGGTAGGCTGCTTTTCTTTTATAAGACTTCTGCATCAGTTTTTTATTCCCCTGCGTCTTTTGTAGGCTGTCTTTCTTGTTTTAATCTTCCATGTGTCATGCCCAATTACCAGCTTGAGAAGCTCCACATTGAGTAATGAATTTACAAGCTCAGGGCTCAAAGTTTAAAGACTTCTGTTTGGTGGTTTGTCATGACATAAGCAGCAGATCCTGTCAGACCATTCTGCAGATATATTTTCTTTGACAGGGATGACTTCAAGTAGCTGCGGTTACATACCCAAGGCACTGCAAGATCACACGTGCTAGAACAGCAAAGTGATTAATCTTCTATTCAGTTTAGTGTTAATGTAGGCGGACATAAATGGAAAGTAAAGTATGTAAATTATATTGTGTAAACATTATTAAACCAGGAAAACTGTAGACATGTAAAAACAAATAGTCAAATAGAAACAGGGGGTGGCTGTAGCTCAGGTAGTAGAGCGGGTCACCTACTAACCGGAAGGTTGTTTCGATCCCAGTCTGCTCCAGTCTGCATGCCAAATATCCTTGGGCAAGATGCTAACCCCAGGTTGCTCTCTGATGCATCCATTGAGAAGCTCGGCGGATGCATGTTAGTTAGATAGAACTAAAAACCTAGCAAAGTGATTGGGTGAATGAACAAGTTGTATAAAATACTTTGAGTGCTCAGATAGAGTAGAGAAGCGCTACATATGGATGATAAAGGAGTTACAGTAAACTCAAAACATGAGTAAATGTATGTGTTACTGTGATCAGATAGCAGATGGATTGGGGTTCCTGGGGAAATTCGAGGTTATGCAGAGGCACATCAGCTTTATGGGAAGTTGCCGTGGGCCGACCTCTTTCAGCCGACCATCAAACTGGCCAGGGAAGGATTCCCTCTTCCTTACGTCCAAAGTCTATACCTCCCAACCATCAATACAAGCAGCACCCAGTCACTGCGGTATGAAATATGTCGACAATGTGAGTTCAAAAATATGAGGAGCAAGCAATTAATGTTTTATCTCCCTGTCTTTGTCTTTTAGGAAACTATATTCAGACGAGAACGGAAACCTTCTTAAAGCCGGTGATACTGTGAAATTTGAGAAACTGGCTGACACTTTGGAGATGATCGCAAATGAGGGACCAGATGTGTTTTACAGCGGAACAATAGCGAAGGATTTAATCAGTGACATACAGAAAGAAGGTATTGTCAGACAGGTTTTATCCTGCTCTCTTTTCTGACCATTTTCTATGTCTGCCAGGCACAATGATCTAATTACAAACAAACAAATCAATTGGCTCTGTGAATCTCTGCCATGATCCCTCATAGGCTACACTGTGGGCTGTCTGGATCCATTAAAAGTTTTGATTATGAGATGCACTGTGTTCAGTTGTGCTTAGCAGAACCATTTATTTCAATGTTTTTGCTCAGGAGGAACACTCACACTGCAGGACTTGGCCTCATATAAAGTTACAGTGACTGATGCGTGGGCTGTTCCTTTGGGAGAGTACCAGATGTACTTCCCTCCGCCCCCTGCCGGAGGAATCATCCTCAGCTTCATCCTCAACATCATGAAAGGTTCCTGTTAGACACTGACTGCAGAGATTCTGATCATCTATACTTCGAAATCACTATGTGATGCTTTTGGATCATTTTATTTTTTGAGCTGAGCTGTTCAAATTATTGCATTTATTGGTTGTTGCATATGGTGTTTTTTGCATGGAAGAAACAGGTCCTATCAAATCTTTACAAGTGTGATACAGTGAGAATATATTATTAAATAAAAGAAATAACAATTGTTTATATTTTCAGGATATAAAATGAACTCACAACTTAAGACGACTGATGAAAAAATATTATATTATCATCGTTATATTGAAGCTTTCAAATTTTCCAATGGATTAAAGAAACATATCCGAGATCCAAAGTTCCACTCAAATAAAGTAAGTATCTGAAAATACCAACAAGAAGATTCAGGCATTAGGTTTCTCCAACAAGTACAAAGTCATGTTTTACCAAAACTAATTTCACTCAGTAACAGGCAAATCAGTTTATAACTTTTATGTAATGTGTGTTTTGTTTTTTGGTTTTTTTTCTGGATGTTTGGTTGATATTCTGTCTCCGTTAAAACAAAAGTACCATAAATTAGAGACATTTCTTTGTAAACTTACAAATTAATCAGGGGATCAAGTAATTATTTCCCCTTCACTGTACAGTAATGTGAAAAAGAACTTGCAGGACCTTTGCTGTACAGTCTTGTAGAAAACTAAGTACATCCCATGATTCAGTGGTGTGTTGAACCACTTTTAGCAACACTATCTTAAAACAATCATTTTCTATACGGCTTTATCAGTCTCTCACATTACTGTGGAGGAATCTGGCCCTCTCTAGGGTCTGGATCATGACTGAACATTTGCAAAACTGAACGTTTGCAAATAAATGTCTGCCTTTTACATGCTTCACAAGGTACCAAAGCCCAAACCGTCCCTCCTCCACTACTGTGCTTGACAGTTCGTTATGAGGTGTTTGTGATGATATGCTGTGTGGGTAGTGAGAAAGGAAGAGATACAGGCAGTGAAAATGAGCTTCCTCTGAAGGGTGACTGTGCTTAGCCTCTGAGTTAGGATGAGGAGCTCAGGAGGGGCTCAGAGTACAGCCACTACTCCTCAAGTTGAGGTGGTTTGGAGAAGAGGCCTTCTTCTGTCAACCCTTCTAAACAAGCCATTAGTGTTAGTCTTTCCTCGCTGTACTGTGAGTTTAGAGGTTTTCTCTAGTTTATATCAATTTCTTTGAGCAATGCACACTTTGACTTTAGGGTAAATTTACAGCAATTTCCAGTCGTGGGAAGATTGTAGCATTGTGTTAAAGCAATGGAACACTCTAGACTAGCAAACGTCTTCTTTTATACATGTATGTGTGCTCACTCTTACATCTGATCAAGTGCATTTGATTAACAGCATCAGGCTGCTACTTACCCTCTTAATTCTTATGGAAGCAGTAAGGGTGTACTTAGTTTTTCACATTACTGCATAGAATGCTTTCTCCCGTAAATCTTTCATTTCAACATGATAATTCTGACAGGTGGTGTAATGTTTGAAATAAATAAGTAACAAATAAGAGTTTTAAAAGCAGATGAACTCAAATCCCTTTTAGATTTGGCTCTAATTTGTTGTTTGTCTTGATATTCCTGTATTTTCTCTAATGCGTTTGTTTTTTTGCCATCTGTACTTCTAACAGATGGCAAAGAATTTCACAGAGGGTAGCTTTGCAGACAACATACGGATCTTGATCAGCAGCGACAAGACTCACGATCTCCAGTATTACGGCATCACTCCGTATCTGGAGAGCATGGGTACCACACATGTGTCTGTGCTGACTGAAGATGGATCCGCTGTGTCTGTCACCAGCAGCATCAACCACATGTCAGTGTCTGGATGAATCTGTTTCACTGTTATGCTGGACTTATGCTGGGCTTACACTGTGCGATTTTTGAGTCGTGCGACCGTTTTGGCGATCGGCCCGATTTTGGCCTTTATCGTGCGTCGTGCATCGTATAGTATACGTGGGGTAACGAGACGCGATTAACACCTCACGACCAGCTCCAGATCATCAATCGCTTGGTCGCGAGGGTGTCACTGCAGTTTGTCACACTGCGCACGCGCAAACACAAATGTCAGCGACAAAGACGGCGCAGCACGGCAGTGCAGCGTGCGTGTGATCTGGACACAAGCGATGGAGGCACAACTTGTAGAACTTTGGAAAGCTCATCCGAGCCTTTTCGATGTGGCCTCACAAAATTATCACGACCACAACAACCGTGAAAATAGTTGGATCTACACTGCTGCTCAATCACAGCTGCCTGATCAATGTTTTTCATTAGCAATTTAGCAAAGTTGATGGTGGTGGTGTGCGTGTCTGTGTGAGTGAAAGACAGAGAGGGAGAGCGTGCGACAGAATTTCTGGTATAACCTTCGTTTTATGTACGCACAGTGTGAGCACTCAGGTCGCATCAGAGCATCGGGCCGTATAGTGTGAGACCCTGCATCGTGACCTATGAACTTTTAATCGCGCGACTGAAAAAATCGCACAGAAGCAGCTATCAAAAATGTGTCTTCCTTTGAAACTGAAAGATTAAAAAGGTTTAAGAGATTATTTTTAGAAGCTGCTTTGTACAATGGCTGTACTGCAGAATGAGTTTGTGTTGTCTGCGTCACAGGGTGTAGATCTAGTTGATTTAATGTTGTTTTCTTTACAGATTTGGCTCCAAAGTCTTCTCTCCAAGTACTGGAATCATCCTCAACAACCAGTTGTATGACTTCTGTAGAAGAGCTGAAAGTATCTCTACAGGTAAAGGATCAGCACGATCCATTTTACATTTAATATTTATGAAACTCAAGCAATCACGGGAGAGCATTAGGCAGAAGAGGTGGCACAGTGAGGATTCTTTCAATGGCTTTTTACTAATGGCACAAAGAGTTTATTTTTTTAGTGGTAACTGTTATTTTCCCTTTCAGCAGTGGGATTAATGAAACACTGCCTCATTGTTAGACAAATCTTGTGAGACCAGTTTTAAACTGGAGCAACGGGAGACTCAGGAGCTTGATACAAAAAACCCTCCAAAACGTTATCATACCTTACGTCAAGATAAACAAGATAAACTAAGTAAACACATCTTGTTGTGACCTATTATTATCTCACAGTTCTGAAATCATTTTCCTGACACAACATATTTTTCTTTTATGTAATTATGTCAAAGATTCAGAAGAGGCTGCCGTAACATTAAGACACATATTCCTCAAAATCAGGTAATGTCAGTGCCAGCCAGCTGCTCATCTAGGTCATTGGGACAGTTTGGGACCCAAAGGAGAGACTTCACACTTATGATGTAGTTACATAAATACAGAGAAATTTCCACAGTTCCAAAACAATTAGTAAGGTTGCAACTTACTATAATGATTATAGCATATTTATATATATATGTCTGTATGTACCTTATCACCTCCTTAACCGGTGGACTAATCTGAACAAAACTTTGCACAAACATCGTCACACATACAGCGATTATTAATATTATTAATACAGCAATTTTTATGGTTTTTTTCCATCATTCCTCTGTGAATGCGACGTTATGTTCTCCATTTTTTTTGTTTCACATGTCACGTTCAGTGTACCCCACCTATACCTAACTTAAAGGTGACCAACATTTGCATCTGTGTATTGTTTAAGTCACCACTAAATACAGAATGGTGTTTTTGCTAGTAATTGTAATAGAGATTTAGCCAACTTCAAATAGTCTACATACCAAGCTGTCCAAGGTTAGAAATAATCTGTTTACTTAGCGGCACATTTTATGCGTTTGTGGTTGGGCATTTGAATAAATCATTTTCTATTTGGATATTATTATTGGTCCAGACATATTCGAAATTTCTTTCTATATTTCTGTACAAACACGTGTGAGTACTTAGCTACACTGGCACTTTTCTGTCGATGTATCATATGTTGATGTAACTGAGGTATTTATATACCTGATAAAAATGCATATTTAATATTAGCATGTTAGGTTGTGAGCATGTTGGCATTTTAGCATTTAGCTAAAATTAGCATGCTATTGTTAGCTAAATGCTAAAAGCTCTTCTGTACCAAAGCAGGGATTCATGGCTACGGCTGTATTCTAGAGCTAGTTAATATGAAGCTTTAGCACCTTTTACACCTTTAGGAGCTGTGAATATCTATGGGGCGCCGTTTGTAAAATGAAACATGTTGAAATTAACGGCAAAATTTTTCCACATTTAGCTCAAAACCTTACAAAAACGTATTTTTTCGAGTAATTTTTTACAACATTTAGTAAAATATTTGTAACTTTTCATCAAATGTTAAATATTAAATCTAAATGTTAAAT